ACAGCAAGTACATGTCACACGCCTCGCCAGGGTCTACTTCATCTTCATGAAGAGCGACCACTCGTACCTCCCTTGTGACAGGACCTTCGGCAGCATTGAAAAGAAACTGAGGAAGACGCCCCACATATACAACACCTTTGTAGTACGTCCTCATCATTGGCAAAGCAATCAAGAAGGGTTTCCTGGTTATTGCCATGCAGAGGGAGGACCTCTTGGACGTGCGAGCCCTCCTCAACTATGCCACTAAGCGACCAGCACCCGGCTTCACCCAGGCCTGCCAGCTTGCCGTAGACAGGGGGTTTCCTGAAGGATTCATCATCAAGAAGGACTATAGCCCGGTTGATGTGGAGGGGAACATCATCAAGTTCTGCTTGATATAAGGGGAGAGGACACTGGGAGAAGAAGTTTGACCTCTCCCAGGTGGTACTCTCGCCTAAGCACCCGCACGACAGGCTGCTGGCACCAGAGAAGGTCAACGACCTTAGGAGTCACCTGATCCTTCTGGAGGGTAGGGCCCAGGAATGGCTCCAAGCCTTGACAGCCAGGCAGGACGATCTCAGAGGGGTAGGTAGGGATCAGCAACGTGAGGAGGAGTTGGTCGATGATCCCGACGACACAACTCTTGATTAAGTGACCCTGGATGCTCCAGGAATGTAGTCACACCCCACCTGCCTGCAACATTGACGACCTGTACTGTTAAGGAATACGGCTACAGGACTGCTCTCTAAGGAAAATGCTACCTTCTCTGCTGTTTGGTGAGTCGATTTTTTTTATGTTCTCCGATTCATCTATAATCAAACTTACTTTTCTTCCAGAATGACATACATTCTTCATTCTTTGTTTGACTTTAGGGGGCATACATTGAGTGTTATAATGGCGACCTAATAATATTAATTAGTTTTTTATAGGTTGTAGGATGTTTTTACATTTGTCATTAATTTGGTACAACTGTAAACTTTTGATGTGATTATGGGTAAGTGCAAGGATACTATGCAGGGACTTTTAATGAAAAACAGTCATGCTGTGGACTCATCACACCAGCCACGGCCCTCAGTGCTAGCAGTGTGAAGTTGGTGTATGGTTGTGGGTGTCGTGATGCCTTGAGTGTGGTTGCAAAAGATAACTTTCTTTAACATTACTGTACCTTCCATTGCAATGTCTGGCAGTCATCCTCATACAAGCAGTATTGTCCTTAAACGCGAGTACGTAGAGGAAAGTGACGCACATGCTGCTTCATACATTCCCTTTAAAAAACATAAGTTTGTGAAACATCCGCTTGTACAAACTCAATGTGACAGTGATGAAACATAGCGATGATGACAATGAGCCACAACAGGATGAAAGGGAGTCTCTTACTGACAATAACACTGTGATTGCAGAAAAAACAATGCATCACTTTATGAACCATCTGAAGATCTTTTTAGAGAATGATGACTTACCTGTCGACAATGAAAGTGACTCACAGCATGATGAAAGTGATTATCATAATGACAAAAACACTTTGAACGCACAGAATAACTTTTTAGCGTGCTACAAAGCATCGAAAAATAATTTTTGCCGACTATGACGAGTTAAAAGACAATTTGGCAAGCATTGACGATGACAATGACGGTGAAAGTGAGCTTGAAATAGATGAAACTGAGTATACTCATAATACAAAAAGTGACTGCTATGCATCACAAGACCTTTTTGCAGACTGTGATCCGGTACAGGGTAACCTGACATGCACTGACGGCAATAATGATGATGATAAGTGAAGATGAAAATGATGAAAGTGAGTCTAATGGTAACACAAACAGTGACACTAATGTATCACAACAAGAACACACAGACTGTGAGGAGGTAGAAGTGGACAGTGACAAGACATGCACTGACCTTGATAGTGATGAAAGTGAGCCTGACCCAACGAATGCTAGTGAAAATCAAGTCTTATAATAAACCTGAACTGTTGCCGGCATCAATAATCAATGATGAAGAATATCTGTGGCGATTTTTAGAGAGGGCAGAGAAAGACTTTGAACAGTACATGATTGATTATGACGAGGACATTAAAGTTATACGCACTCCTCAGGATTTACCTAACTGCAATCGTCAGGGATAATAAAATGGGGGGAGGAGTGTAGTGGTGTTTCCTTATTATTACACACTATTATACTAAACAATATTATAAATCTGAGTGAGGAAGAGGGGGGGGGGGAGAACTGACCAAGAGACCCTCACCACCAAAAAGGTTCACTTCCGCCAACACTCAGCTCGCAATACCCACACTTTGCCACACACACCAACACTACCCACACATCACACCCCTACATCACACACACACCCTCCAACAACCACCCACACACACCCTCCAACACCACCCTCACCCTACATCGCCCACACCATCACCGCCCCCACACACCCCAACATTACTACTACTACTACTACTTTGCTGTCACTCGGAAACGAGTATGACGATCATCCAGCTAATGATATAACGATATGAATTATTAAGGATGTCACCTAGGTTAGTGAGTTCTGAGGTGACTAAAGAGGCCGATATTGGACTGGCAGGATCGATCACAGAAGTTGCACATGTGGGGGATACATCTAGTGCGGGAGAGGCGGCGGCAGCATCTTTCCAGTGTTGGCGCTTGTCTGCCTCGTCATGCAGTCGGGCTAACTCGAAAGTATTGACACCTTCTTCCATGGTGTTCCTCCAAGCATTACGATGTGGAGTAATCGTCTCCCAGGTGAGGGGGTCAATTTGGCACTTTTTCAGGTTTGTCTTAAGACTATCCTTATACCTCTTCAGTTGCCCGCCAGCATTAAGTTTACTATTCGTTAGGTGACAGTAAAGTAGCTGCTTTGGCAGTCTACGGTCGTCCATGCGGATAACATGGCCAGTCCAGCGTAGTTGTTTGTTAATAATGGTAGCCTCGGTGCTTCTACAGTTGGTGTCAGCAAGAATACTGGCATTTGTTCTCTTGTCTTCCCAGCGAACTCGGGGGATGGAACATAGACCACGTTGGTGAAAGTTTTCAAGTGCCTTGATGTGCCTCCTATATGTGACCCATGTCTCGCTGCCATATAGCAGGGTGGGGAGGACCACTACTCGATATATGTGTAACTTAGTAGGTAATTTCAGTTCCCTACAGCAGAAAACACGGTTTCAGTGTCTGCCAAAGGCTTGAGATGCACAATGCACATCTGATCCGATGCTGAATCTTTTCATCGATGTCTGAGGTGGTGGACAGGTGGGAGCCGATATACCAAATGTGGGTAACATTAGAGAGGGTAGTACCGTTAAGCTGGATGGATGGTGGGGGTGTGGCTGAACCAGGGGAAGGCTGAAAGAGAATCTGAGTTTTACGTACATTCACCTCAAGGCCGAAGTGCGCATACGCATCTGCATAGGTGATCGGGATCTCCTGTAGGTCACGTTCAGTGTGAGCGACAAGAGTGAGGTAGTCTGCATACTTTAGTTCAATAATGGCAGCTGCCAAAACCTTTGTTCTTGCCTGGAGTTGTCATATTTTGAAAAGACCCCTCACCTTGTACCGGATGTCTACCATGCCAGCTAAATTTGCGCTGGTGCGAGTAAGGAAGGCAGCCAAAAAAATGGAAAAGAGAGTTGGTGCCATTACGCACCCTTGATTAACCCTCATTTGGATGGGGAAGAACTCAAACTGGGTGCCATTGTGCAGGACACTGCCAATCATTCCATCATGGAGTTGCCTCACACTGGCGATGAAATTTGTGGGGAACCAAAATGGCTGAGGGTTTACCTGTTGACTGAGTCGAATGCCTTGGTTAGGTCAATGAAAGCCATGTACAGGTCACGACGCTGTTCTCTGCACTTTTCCTGTATCTGACAGGCAGCAAAGATCGTGTCAGTGGTGCCACGTGAACATACTCCAACAACCACCCACACACACACACACATTTCAACATCACTCTACACACCCCCAACAAGGGAATTAAGACCACTAGCAAGCATGAGGAGTGAGGATCTTATTGTATGACACATCTGCGTGTGTGACTGCATGGAAGTGAGTTAAATATCAGCTTTTGAGCGCTGGCAACACTCATTTCCACTCCATCTCTCTAATTACCCACACCTTTCTGCTTTCTCACTCCATATTTTAAAATGTTATGTAATGTAATGTAATGCAATGCAATGTTGAAGGGATATAACTTGCTCATTTAAACTTGTACTTATCAAAATCTCCCTAATAATACTTTAGGTTTTGTTTATTCAAGGCATCTTCAGGTCATGAGACCCACTAATCCCCCACCCAAGAAAGGGTGACCTGACATTCCGTCAGGACAGTAGTATGAGACCACTAATCCGCCATCCTACCTCCACCTGACATTGCATCATGTCAGGTCAGTTACACGAGACCCACTAATCCCCCACAGCTCCATGTGAGTGGAAAACAAGTCTTTGCTGTAACACACATTTTCATTCATGCCCATATCCTATAGATTTTTCATTTTAAATATATTTACTTAACCAAATGTTTAGATAAACTATTCTGGATTATTTTAGTAAAAAAATGAAGTTTCTAACTTAATTAAAACTGCATTTATGGACTCCAGTAGTTTAGACTCAAGAAAAACATCCCCAGCACCCAGAAATGTTCGGGGCTAGTGTCTATCTGTGCAAGATGTCTAGCTTAGACACCCAAAAATCTCTCATCCCCGGAAGTGCTCTGCACCAATTGTTCCGGCTAACAAAATCACATGTACCGTACCACTAAAATAGGGAACAGACAAGTCCAGAGCAAATCTGCAGCATAAAAATGTTTACTGGTATCAAGTGCTTCAGATGCTAAGGGCTGTGACAAATAAAATGGGGATAGTTGATTTCAGTGTCAAGGTGTGAAAAATTAAGACTGCAACAGAAAACCTGCTTACATTTAAGCAACATAATCTTCAGAAAACTTTGCATAAACCATTTTTCTATAGTTAAACAAGGTGTCTGCATCAAGAAATACAATAATTCACATACACAATACCTTTCTATTGACAGGATCAAAGTCTGGATCATCATCCGAGTCACTCAACTGGAAATCAGGATCCGAGTCTGCAAGACCATCTGATTCAGCGTCTATAAGACCATAGCGCTGAACAGAACGCGCAGCTCTTCGTGGAATGTCTCGCTGTGGGGTTATTCCTACAAAACAAGAATAAATTTTTTTTTACTTACATTTATAGCATTTGTCTTGTGAGGAATATGGTTCATTATATGGTATGATCAACACCAAGCTTTGTCAAGTGGGGCCAAGTGGAAACATGTCTGGAAAAGGTTACCAATAGTGAAGAAATTAATAATAATAATATTATTAAGTTGATAGCCTGGATCCCCAACAGCAAGGCATAACTACTCGTTAGTGGCCATAATTCCCAAAATTAATAGGACAACACTGATTAACAAATTAATTTGAGATCTTCTTGTATTAAACCCACACATCAAGTAACATAGATGCATGTTACCTGTCCAGGGACTGACAGTTCCCTCTCACTACTTTGGGAACTGAAACTGGTAATCCTAGATTCTTGTCTTTGATAACCAAAAAGAAGAAAGTGTTTGAATCTGCATGGATGTTAATAAAGTGATATAGGATTGATTAAAACTAAAATGAAGGAAAGGAACCATTACGTCCTGGCTTCATGCAACATGAAATTGAAGTAAGAGTACAGCAGAGGGGTGAGCAGAGAACACACAGAAGGAATGAAGTGAGCAATGCCAGAAACAGTAAAAGGTAAAGAGGTGAAGGAGTTTTAAAATGACTAACTGTGAAATTGTAATAATATAGAAGGGGTTCAGTCCCAAAATATTATGGTAAGATTAAAACTACAAACAAAGGTGATTTACAATAAGTATATCTAATACCTGCAAGATAAAGAGAGATTGATAATGGCACCCTTTTGAGTTGCCTTCAAGGACTTTCCTCTCTGGATGGTTAATAATGCTGAGAAACCATGAGATCATGCTCTCGGTGCTTCTGAGCTGTACAAGTTTACCCACTTTGGTAATCTGGGATACATAAAGTTTGAGAGATCCCCATTTAGATCTAAGTACAGTACAGCAAGCCCTTCAAATTCACAGGTGTTTTTTTACCTGTGTACGAAGAAATATATATTCCCTTTATGTGTTTGCCTTAAGGACATTATTTCTTTTACCTCTATTGTATACAGTATGTGTATGTATGTAGACACACACACACAAAACACATACAAATAAATAATAATGGGAAAATCCTCTCACAAATAATCAGAAACAAATGTATTAAAAATGTTGAGTTTACCCCTAAGTCCACTCCGTGCTTTATTAACAACAAAGCGCAGAGTGGACTTGAGGGTAGACTCAACATTTTTAATACATTTGTTTCTGATTATATGCAAGACAATTTTCTCCTATTGCACCCATCTTTGGTCATCCTCTCTTAGGGATTATGGGGAAACTTTCGTCGTGGTCCTCGACATCTCCAAAGCATTTGACGGGGTATGGCACAAGTTATGCTATCTAAACTTCCCTCTTTTGGTTTCTCTCCCCCACTTTGTTTTCTCATCTCTAGCTTCCTTGAGAACCGATCCATGGCAGTTGTTGAGGGATCGATCTCTCGCTCTTTCTCTACCAATAGTGGTGTCCCAGAGGGTTCTGTTCTTTCATCTACTCTCTTCCTTCTTTTTATCAATGATTTACTTCACACTACAACTAATTCTATCCATTCTTACGCTGATGATTCTACTCTTCACTATTCTTCACATTTTACCCTTCCTCCTAACTCTCAAACTAGATTTGTTTCTAGAACTGATCTCATTACTTCTATCAATATGGATCTGTGCAGCATCTCTGAATGGAAGGTCTAGTGAAGTATTTATTTGTTTATTTATGTCCTTCAGATTGAGTTTTTGTTTTTTTGCTTATACAGTATATTGTCACAGAAGTGACCGGGAGAATATAATTTACATTGCTGGAATTCTTATAAGATAGTGATCAAATTGAATATAAACATGCTATAGTTTGCACTAGACAAATATCTTAGTAATCATTTAGTACATTATTTTGAGTATATGTACGGTACAGCTTTACCGTGAGGACAGTGTGTGCATGTAAATGAGTAAAAATAAATTAATAAAGTTACATATATCGAGCCAAAAATATTAGTTGAAAAACTTCATGTAGACAGAGCCTGGATGGCTAAATTTTAGAATGACCAATAATTTTAATACTATATAAAAACTGCAAAAATATTCAAGAGCACAACTTTCTTGATATTTATTCCACTGGAAACGAATGTAAACAAAGAACCGATTACTGTATTGGCGGACTAGCCGATCAGCTGATGCGCACAACAAAGCGTGTTTCTCCTAAGGCTTTCGTTAATCAAAGTTTTGTTCTTTAATGGAAATGAAAATCCTTATGGGAGCTAATTCATTAACCGAAATTTCGTTAATTGAACCGTTCGTTCATCGAGGGACCACTGTATTATTATTATTTTTTTGCCCCCAGGCCCAGATGTGGATCATTGACCTATGTCCTAGTGGGCTATTCCATAAAAAAATAATAATAATAAATAAAATAAAAGAACTCCCTGACATCAAAAGCACACCATCCATTGCCTTGATAAATCCCACCACACATCCTAGTAATTTCAAATTAACTTGACCTCACTATAGATACAAGAAATCACAACACTCCTCCCACACTCAACATCCCACCAACACCACTGTCCTCAAGCACATAGCACCGTTTTCTTAGTCAATCAGGAGCTAGGTGAACACGCTCAGGAACTACCTCCTGAACGAATAAAAAAACGGCTGTTTGACAACTAGCCCCCTACCCAATCCAGACTCTAACCAAACAATATATGAAGCATTGTGACCACCTCCCTCCCCTAAACCAATTCAGTATTAACACATTATTCAAAGCATCCAAAATCCACTCTGTCCACCTTGGAATTTTGCTCCACAAGCTAAACTCATAACTCACTACAGTACAGTAAACATCAAATGTTCATTTAATATATAACTTCCACAAAATATCCCAGAGCCACTCGCATTTGTCACCAAATTTTGGTTAAGCTTGACCAAACTGTAATTGTACAGACTAACCTGGCTTACTTGCAGAAGTAGGCATAACTTTCATCATAGGAAATTGAATAATTCACAACAGCAGGAGAATCAGCTTACATCTTCCAATTGCATGAGTACAGCATTTAAAGAACATTCTCAATATCCATGTAGCTATTGTATACAGTACTGGCACTAATATTCTACTCATTATCTAATCCATGAAATATCATGAACTACGTGTATTATACAGTTTTCTAGTTGATATCAAAATTTTACAACAAATATGACACCTACCACCAGTGCTTGGGGTTACTCCAGCCTTGTGCTGTCTACCCCTACGTGCTACATTGCGGCGGCCACCTCTAGGTTTTTCCCCAACTTCACCGTTATTTGTAGCTTCTGAGCTATTGGTGTTCTCCCCATCAGTAAGAGAGAGATATTCTGTAGGAGGTTGACCTGTAGTAGAGGTAGGAACAGCTGGAGTATGATCTGTAGGGGTTACATCTTCCTCTGGGGGCTCAAATTCTATAGAAGTTGCAAATAATTCAGATTTAACATCAATGGTTTCTTCCTTAACTACTGCCTGTTCTGAATCACTTTGGGGGTCGTCAGGTACAGGCTCAGGGTCATCTGGATCTAGGATAAAAAGAGAAATTTACAATTCACAACAAATACTTATAACAATGTAAAAGTTACTTTTAAGTAATGCAAATATAATGAGCCACCTCATACATAAAGCCAAGAACTTCCTTTCAATATACCAAGTCCCCAACTATGAATTTGATGAGCCTTGGTATTATAACAGTTTGTGCACAGCCAATTCCTTATATGTTATCAGCCATACTGGATTTCCAGCACATAATCTCAGCTCTGCTTAACTACACAAAAGAACCCAAGTACCGTACATTACAGGTTACACCCCGCTAATTGGGGAAGCTTGGGACCAGGCCGGTTCTGGGATAGCGAAAATTCTGAACCATCGAAGCTGAGGTTAAAAAAGGCAAAATAATGCATAAAATGTACTCTTACTGTCTAATTTTTTCAGTATAGACATGTTTTCTAAAATAGTTAATGTCACAAGCTTACGTTTCGCTGCATTACAACCACTTCCATTGCTTTCTGGTCTCTTAAAGAGGCACATTATAAGTATTTAAGGGTGAAATAGTGACAACAGTCACTAGAAGTGAACTATGACACCGTCCTAAATCATCGAAGCTGCCGGACTATCGGGTCCCAGATTAGCAGGGTCCAACCTGTACCGTTTTCCTGTCCTAATCCAGTTACAAAATGGGAATTCCAGAATCAATCCTTGATTCATAACCTAGATTCATGGAGATTTATGATCTAAGAATAAACCAGAAAAAGGAAAGAAGCAAAATACAGTAATATCTCTGTTAGCCGGAATCCCTCAAACCCAGAACTCTCCAATAGCAGGAATTGAAATTTTCTCGGAAAATCGTTCCTAAAGCCGGAATTTTCTGGCTTTGGGAACGATTTTCCGGAAAATTCAGAGCAAATTTCCCGATACCTGAAAAATTCCAAGAATGGGGGAGTTTTTTCCAGGTTTGAGAGATGAAAATCAGGCGCATTTTCCGGAAATTCCGAGAAATTTTTTTTCAGTACCCAGAAAATTCCAGGGATGGGGGACATTTTTCCAGGTTCGAGAGATGATGTAATGGGCAATTTCTGGAACTTCCATAACATTTTTCCATTACCCAGAAAATTTGGGGGATAAGGGATTTTTTCCAACTTTGAGAAAGTCGTCCTGTTACCCGGAAATCTCTCATTCCCGGAAGTGCTCTGCACCAACTGTTCCGGCCAACGGAAGTTACACTGAAAAATACACCGTCTTGCTAAATAGGAAGCACCTACCACTGAATGCTACCAAAGACAAGGCACCCCTAGATGAGTCATATTTAAAAGTATCCCTTTCATCATCAAAGACCAAAATAAATTCCAGCCAAACTAAACAAAAATATAAAAGATGCTTCACTGTCAAATGCACAAAATCCAATGGGATCTTAGCAGAGTTCATAATATAAGTATCAACATCATACTTACCAGTACTGTAGCTGTAAATACAGTACAGTAGTACCCCACTTAACGCGGTCAATTGAACCCACAGGGTACTGGTGAAAAACGCGTTAAGTGAACAACAGAACATATGGGATTAATTCCAATAGAGACTGGCCCGACCCCCAAACTCTACTTTTTCCGACACAATACCTATGTTCTAGTAAAAATAACATCTTAATTTTGTGATGGTACATACACACAATTAATACTTAAGAGAAATAGAGAAATACAGTTGCCAAGTTAATGACCATTCAAATAATGGACTCGACTCCCTCCCCCTCTTCTCACACTACTGTACACTCGCTGGTTCTTCCCTCTCTGAGAAATTTTTGGGGGAAAACCACTAAATTTTAATAAATAATACCTCAAACTAAAGTTAGGATAATATAATTGACATTGCTGGATTCCTTGTAAGACCAGGAATATTTTGAATACAAATGTCATATATTTTGCACAAAAAATAACATATTTACTCAGAGTAAATATTATATCTAAAATTTGTATGTCTAATGCAAAATCTATGATGTTTATATTCAAAATGATCATCATATTGTAAGAATTCCAGCAATGTAAATTATATTCTGGCCGGGTAATTTGTATGAATTTTATGAGCAAAAAAAAAAAAAAATGTTATACTTCACCGCGTATTTGAGTAGATGAACCGTGTTAAGTGAAAGTTCGTTCGGTTCTGGCGAGGCACCGCGTATATGGCGGAAATCGCGCTAAGCGAAACCGCGTTAAGCGGGGTATTACTGTATGTACAGAATAGTATATGCTTCAAGTGATCCGACCTAGAACTCAACAAAACTCAGATACTGATATAAAACTGTCACCCACCTCTTCTTTCTCATTCACATCTATTGAATAAGAAAGAGTCAACTATCTTTACTACAGGAGAGATAATATTCTGACTAACACAAATCGAGAGGTGCTGGGTAAGGAGATTTTCTAGTTAGTTGAACCTCACTCTTAGGATCCCCCAATAAATCCTAAAATGCAGTACTACAGGCTGACCTCGCAAACTTTTGTCTCGGAAGTCAAATTTTCCGTAAATCCATACATTTTCAAGAGCGTTCCGTTCCTAATTGCCTGTACCGTGTTTTTCGTTTTTCCATGGCTCATTCGAGATTTTTTTAAATTGATTTGAAATTTAATCACACATGAAAATGCAGATTTGCAGAAAAATTGTCTTTTTTTTAACACTTACTCCACTGTAATATAAATGGTGGCTTGAAAATAAAGAAAATATAAAATAAAATTATAAAATAAAAACAATGAAGAGCCAGGACGTGCATGCGTGGGAAGCGAACGTGTGTGAAGGTGGTGGCTGTAACTGCGCTGCTGCAATCCCTCCCCCAATGTGACGCCATGACACACACACAGTGCAGCATGGCAGCAACCACACATCTGTGAGTCTACTGGTTGACTGCCTGGCTGAGCTGGGTCGCGACATCCAGAGAATAGTTTCAGTGTGGAAGGAGCTATTTTTTGTACATAAAATACGTGCTACATGTAAAGTATTTTATGACATGCTATATACAGTATCAATTTTATTGTTTATCTTAGCAATTTTTTTCTTCATTTTAGATGTCTGCAATTTGACATTTTTTTAAATTAGGCTAGTCTTGTGCTCACTACATAGTTGAACTCTGAACCACATCATTTATATAAAGTAGAATAAGTGTTAAAAACTGTTCAATAAATACGGTAATTCATACCCGCTCCACATGGTATTCAAACTTATGATTCTAGATAATCTTGGAGGAATTTTTATTATCATTATTATCGTTTTGGTTGCCAGTTGGTTGTATCTGCTGGTTGGCCAGACTCTGGACAATTGGGATTTTACTATAATTCTTCCCTAAATCCAACAGGCCATGGAACATACTTAACATGCTAGAAATAGTTCAGTCTCCGACTTATAAACAGGGTAAAGCCCAACAAAACACCTGGACTTAAGAATTAAGTCCCTGGGTAAAGAATTTTAAAGGGAAACATGAAAGAATTAACATTCACAACTTTGTTTCATTTTTCCTCTACAGTAAAATCCCGTTTTATGCGGTAAAGCGGTTTCACTTTACGCGTTTCCACGTTTACGCAGTACCCTGTCGAACACGGAATGCTCACTTTACGTGGTGCATGTACTCTTTTACGCGGAGAGCAGCGCGGGCAGGGTGCGCACAAGGTCGCCCAGTCATCAAAACATTACCGAGTTCTTCACCCGCCACCCACCACAGCCGGCCCAAGTCAGTGATAGTGATAATGATAGGGAGGATATGGACTTATACGGACTTTGTGGGGATTGACAAAGAGGCCCTGCAAGCCTCTGTGATGGATAGTGATCCAATTGATACAAGTGATACAGGTGAGGGCCAATAATCTGCCCTCTGCCTCGGAACCAACCCCCATCCCCATGTGCCCAGCCATCTTTTCTACTAATGTAAGTGTTAAAAAACCTAATATTATTGATATTTCTCTTAATTATTAATTGTGTGTGCATACCATCATAAAATTAAGAAGTTATTTTTACTACAACGTAGGTATTGTGTCTGAAAAAGTGGACTTTGGGGGTCACCCAGTCTCTATTTCAATTAATCCCATATGTTATGTTCACTTTACGCGTTTCTCGCTTTACACGGGCCGCCGTGGGTTCAATTGACCACATAAAGTGAGGGTTCACTGTAGTCTTTATCTATATGCACTCTTTTTATGCCTGTCTAGGGCAAGGTTTGAACTAAACAGATTTGAGTACAGTAGGGTCGGGATATATCACAACTTTATTTAACGATTTTATTATATCACAGCTACCAAAATTATCAAAATTTTCCTTTACCGTATACGAAATTTTGGTTAACGAATTACCATCCACAAGATTCTTCACTTCGGTCAACGAGCAAACCCTTGGTTAACGAATTCCTTATGAAATTTTCCCAACATGTTTTCGCCTGCATTTGGCTGCCCACCAGCTGTAGTATTAGTCCACCAATACAGTAATCGGTTTTTGGGCTTAAATTCCTTACCATTTTAGTAAATATCAAGAAGGTTGTACTATTTAATAATTTTAAAAGTTTTATATTAAATTTTTCGTCATTTATTGAACATAATTGAAGTACAGGAAACTAGTTTTTTGCTCGCCAAACAGCCACTCAACACACCAAGCTTGGCATCAGTTTGTTTACCAGTTCAGAGGAAGGAACATCTTGTTTGAGACTCTTCAACATAAATGCTTTTTTCTGTTTCCAGTCAAATTATTGGTCATTTTGAAATATATTTTACACAATGATAATATATTGCACAGTGCAGTGTTGATTTAAAGAAAATAATCTTGAATTACACCAAGTGAATTAAAATTTTATGGGTGAAATGGCAGCATGAGGTGACTTCTCTTCCACCCCAATGCCTTCTCTTCTCCCTTCTCCTCCACCCCCATTCTAATTCCCATCATTATCATCATAAACCAGGAGCCTTCTACATGCACACCTCAAACTAAGTGTACTTTACTGCATTTATTTTTAGTTTACGGTATGTAATTTTCGGTGAGCTGGAACCAATTACCCAAAAACCCATTGAAACAATAGTTTCGGTTAACGAATTTTTTGGTTAACAGCAACCTTCTGGAACGAATTGTGCTCATTAACCGAGGGACCACTGTATAGCGATAATTTTTTTATTTCACGAGGGAAATCGGGCAGGAAATATTTCAAATGTACCGCCATGGCAAACAAAATGCGTTATTTGCTAACCAGAGGCGCCACCCTGGTTGCTCACTCATGCATTCACGCTCACCCGCTCAGTCTTTCCGAGTGAATGACGAGAAAGCAGCCGACTCTGCTGCAGATCACGACTTCTAAGGCGAGTGTAAATGGGTTGCTAGTGATGTGAAAAGTGAAGTGAGGATAATGGAAAGCTTAATGGAAATGATTTAATACTGTAACTAATATTTTTGGTTTGTTAGTTTATGATTGTTAAGTGAGGGTGACAATGTGTCGTCTGTTGCTCTCAGGATGGCGCGTCAGCTGCCGAGTCTAGTGTTCCTGAGTCTGGTGTTCATTGACATTGGTATTGAAATAGCCTGTTGTTCCCGAGTCTAGTGTTCATTGGTGCTTTAGTTAGTAAGAAAATAAACTTGTTAAGTCAAGTTTAGTCACTTTTTTTGGCCTTCAGAACCTAACCCTATTTTCCCCATTGATTACATGTAATTATATATCGCAATTTAGTATACAGTATAGCGAACATCGTTGGACCCTATCTCGCAATATATCCCGACCCTACTGTACTCCTGAAACACAACTTTGATTCTTTTTTAATGGAAATAGGAGGCCATAACAATAGCACCGGTAAAAACTACTTACGCATACTGTACATACTATACCGGTATGCCAATCCATGTGGTCTGAGAACACCAACCTCATAATACAGGTATTTGAGAATACTTATCAGAAATTGGGGCATTAAAAAGATACCTGCTGAGCAGTATTGGCTAAAACAAACTTCACTCTAATTATAGTTTGTCCAATCTAGTTTTGAATCACACATCAAAATCATAAACTGTTAATGTTTTAACAAGCATAAGCCATATTTCACCAAGGTTTAATTTTATGCTGACCAACAGTTACAGTATATTAACACTTAGGTTTTATCTTGACCAGTAAAGTTATATGTCATGAGGGAAGATAATTTTACCAACACCACTCAACATACCTGATAAGGTGTTCAGGTCTCGTTGAGGCTCATTCACCTTAGCAGGTTTTGCACCTGGTTCCTGATTTTCAAGGAATGACATAAAACTGTTTATATAGCCAGGTTTACTTGTTCCATTAGACATGCCTGAAAGTGAAGAAGTACAGTGCTATAATAATTGTCAAATAGATAAGATTACTATAAATAAAAAAAATAAAAAATCTTAAACCTTCGGATGCTAGTCAACCGTAGTCGGAAGAAATTTAAGCCATTGACTCCAAAGTTCAACAATAGTCCAAGTGAAAATTTTTTATCCCCCTTGGCTATGATTTAGATACAGTACTGCATTTGACTTTGGTTGTACAGTACAGGTATCCCCTAATTTACGATCTTCCTATCTACAATATTCCGCTTTATAGATTGCGATGTGTTAAGACCAACCCCCTATCTGCAATGTAAATAGTCCACACGAACGATGGTCATTGTCCAGCCAATGCGGACCTACTGTATCTCAATTCATTTATCAGATGTGGTCTACCCGAGCGCTGCCACGTGGCCATCTAGTGCACACAGTACCATGCTTTGTTCCATGGTGATCACACATGGCCATGATCGTGTAGCTCAACAATTATTGGTCACCAACATTCACACTGTACGGTACTTTGTTTTGGTGACTGTGAAGTGATTTTTGTTGTCTTTTGTGACTGTAATGTAAGCAGTGTCAGCTGCAATGTTATAATCGTTCACACTGTTTTTGTGACTGAAGTGAGCAGTGTAACTTTGAATATGTCTGGGAAGGCAAAGGCATCCAGGAAAACTGTGTCTCGGGAGGTGAAGCTTAACATTGTGAAGCCTCTCCAAACTACCAAGAGGCTGTGTGGGGGACAGAATGACGTCTCCAGTCCACTTTCAAGAGTCCCCTAAGCCTCGAAGGGGACACGTAATGAAGACCCGACTTGTTCTTAATGATGTAGAGTGTTATTTAGTTGTGTTGAAGGCATATTATTAGTGTAGTTTTTTTCGGTGATACATATGGGTGTCTGACTGGCTGGGATCGTATCCCATTTAACCCCATGTTATAACGATCCCGTTTTATGATATTTTGACCTGCGATGGGTCTTCAGGAACCTGACCCCATTGTAAATAGGGGGATACCTGTATAACCATCAACAATGGTGTGCTTCCTACATTATTCAGATCATCCTGCTAACTCAAATATGTTTCAGATTATTCAGGCTATATTTTTAATAAATTTTCTGGAATTTTATGCATTTAAGTTTTAATTTCAGAATTTTATACGACTGTATACCATAGCACGTGTTAATATACCCAGCATTGCGTCATTCCAAAACAACAGGTGTTTGCATAGCTACCCAATATTCAAATATTGTTTTTTATTCACTTAGAAATTGTAGTACGGTAAACCTTCGAAGATCCGGACCAGGTAAATCCAGAATTCAGAAGATTCGGACAAAAAAAGTTGAGGGCCTTGGGCTAAGAAGCCCCCCTAAGAAGCATTCCCAAAACAGGGTGAAGGGAGTTTTAGGCTCAAAGATTTTATCTTATAAAATGTCACAGACTAAAATTAGCAGAATATAAAATGCATTGCTGGAACCCTTGCAAGACAGAGATAAAATTTTAGTCCTTTTGTGTAGCACATTTAAGTACAAGTTGTTTAACTCGTATTTTTGGGTAGATATATGTAACTTTCTTCACTTATTTTTACTCATTTACATACACACACCATCCTAAATACATATTGTGAAAAAAGTAAAAGAAATAATTGTCCTAAGGGCAAACCTGTACTGTACTCAAATATAGTAAATAATTACTCAAAATTTTATGTCTGGTGCAAACTATAGCATGTTTATATTCAAATTAATCACTACCTTACAAGAATTCTAGCATAAGTTATATTCTGCCTGCCAAGTCAATTCAGTGACATTTCATAAGCAAAAAAGCTTAAACTCCCTCTATATGACTGATAACTACGCACTGGGTAACCTCCCTGCCAGCTGGTCAATACCTCACCTCACCCTCCCTCCCTCCTCCCTCCCGGCCTGGCTGTCAACCTCACCTCTCCCTTCCCAGGGGTGAAGGTAGTTTTAGGCTTAAAAGTTTGTATCTTATAAAATGTCACAGACTAAAATTAGCAGAATATAACTTGCATTGTTGGAATCCTTGCAAGACAGCGATTAATTTGAGTATAGACATTACAATAATTTGGCTAAAAATATAAAAATTTTAGTCCTTTAGTGTAGTACATCGAGTACAAATGAGTACAGTAATATGTTGCTCAAAATTATGGCTTTATCACAGGAAAAAGTCTGTAGTATAATTAACTCCAGTGGTCAGGATAATATGTACTGTACTTTTGGTGCTTTTTATATAATTATTTATTGTTTTCATACATTTGGTAAATTCCTCGGAAGATTCGGACAATCGGCTTTTCCGAACAGGTGGTCCCCCCTTTAGTCCGGATCTTCGAGGGTTAACTGTACTACAATGGGTGATGTTATTGAATTCTAAGAGTGTTAACACTTTCTAAGAAGCAAAATTACTAATGAATTTTTATTTTTGAAAGAAAATTTACCAGTTAATTTCAGTGTCACCTGGTGAACTCTTTTAAGAAAATGCCAGAAAAAGTGAGAGTTGTGCATACAGTACTGTACAGTATTGTCAAGCTTCATCAGGTCTTGGAAGATGAAGGTAAATTGGTTTAACAACATTTGTGAAAATGCTAAACCCAATGGCAGTAACTGCACTATACCACCAGTTCTGATTGATTTTAAGGAAAGTTTTAACCTAATTGGCCAAATTCTACCTACGGTAAGCTAAGTCCTAGTCTAAGGGACCTGCACATGAGCCATTTTCGAGTGACTTTGTGTGGCCACAAATGAAACCTGCATGTATCTGTGGAAGACCACGCACAAGCCACTATTTTGTTGCAGCCACAAAAAAATTGTAACCATACCCATTTTCTCCGCCCACCACAGTGGCTGGCCACCAGAAGCCAGCAATAGAACTAAGTATTTTAATGAAAGCATGTACACGTGCCACTACTTTGTGGCTAGCTACATATATGCCAGTAAACAGTAGGTCTTGGCCTGGTGTAGAACAACTCACTGGTGCTGTCTCCTCATGCAGCAATAAATGTCTTGTAAAGAACTACAGTACTGTACTACGAAAAGTTAACAAATGAAGTTGATACATGTCCAGGTCTCTACAATTCAAAATTAAAGAATATAACGAAAGAAAAACTGTGGATCAAAGTACAGTACAGTACAGCATGTGAAGCCATAGCTGACCACAGTCCAATTTCTTACCAAAATTATAACATTTAAACATATTTGAATAGCTTGATTTCCTGGCAGCCACAACATCCACAGCAGTGAAACATTAGTGACTACTGTATCTACTAAACCCATGACTACCCTCTTCGAGAAGAAATGTTTGTACTTAAAGAAATTAGAACTACTATTGTCTGGATTTTTTATTCTATTATGTTTCCATCAAGAGCACCAAAGCAATTGGCAAAGTGAGTTAGCTGCATAAATATTCTTTACAATCTTGATCCAGTCGCCTTCATTTTTTCCAGGCATGGAAGTGGAGCTTAAAATTCTTCCAGAGTGCATCACAAGTTTCGAATACAATTTGTTGGACTGTAGATTCTCCAAGAAAGTACTGTGCAGTACTCAGTGTAGAGAAACAAAGCTGTTGCCCATTGCTAAATGCCTGTAAAAAAAAACATGCCACCTCTTCAAAGCCCATGTGGCTACCAAAAAGAGTCGCGGTCATAAATCACTCATTAGCGGCTCGCATGCGGGGACCCAAAAACATAAATTCATACAAAAAAATAACCTCAAATCCTTCACTAAAACCTAAAAACAACATCACTGAGTTAGTTTTGATTAAGAGTTCCTGCACAATTATCAAGTTATTTTGAAAATCCAAATACAGTTCAGTATAAACTTATAAACATTATGTATCAAGCGTCTCCAGCAAAAGGGTCCTACTATGAAAGACCACAATGACTGATTGAAATACCATAGCGTTTTAGCAAGGAAATATAGATACAAAGTGAACAATATTGACATGGCTGAGTCTATAGTGGAATCCAGGATGCTCTTGGAGGCACACGAGTCACCTACAGCACACAGTCTAAGAGATAAAGATTATTTATTACTGGTCTCAAGTACGATACAGTATTACTGTAGCTATTACCCTATTGATTGGATTCAGACCCACAGTTTCCCCGAGGAATCCTTGTACTGTCTACAAATGATGTTCAGTGGTGACATTCTATATACAGCACTGTACTGTATAGTACATACTGCACTGGAGTTACATCACTTTCATAAGGTACTGTACTGTACAACCCTCCTTTTTTTTCCTTTCCCCTTCAAATTTACTTCTATAAATAAAGTAATACAAATAAGGCAGCATCTGTCTCATTTACCTTCGTCCTGATGAGTATATGACGACCAATCAATGATACAGTATACAGTACTTTCAATTTAACGGAATCTGATATAACAAACTCTCAATTTAACGGAAGGAATTTTCCCTATTATTTTTCGCTCGATTTAGTGAACTAGTTCGCTAAATCAAGATTAATTACATTAATACGCTCACATCTACGGAGACACCTCAGACACATGATATGTACAGTAAGTCCTCGTTTAACGTTGCTCCAGACAACATTGTTTTGTTATAACGTCGCTACTCTTCAGATACCCATTATTCTGACAGCGTCCCGATCGATTCGTTATAACGTCGTCACTGACTACTTTGTATGGCCCATCACCCTCTCTCATCTTGGTGCACTACGCTCTCTCCCGGAGCGTCCCCAGTCTTTGTTTAGCCTCCACAGCGTACGTGCATGCTTAAGTGTCTTTGCTATAAATGCTGTACTGTAACCATTTGAAATGGCTTCCAAGCACCCATTAAGTGTTAGTGATGCTAGTGTTATGAAGAAGCAACCCATGACCATTAGCCTGCTACGAAAACGGAAGGGGAACCCCAGTCAGAGGAGCCCCCCTCCGGGTCTCAGTGACTCACCACCCTCCCCCTCTCCGCTACCCACCACACACTCACTCCACTTCTGCCCATCAATGAGTACAATACAAAATTATTTAGTTCATTTATCTTTTTGGATGCATAATACATATTTTCTAAAAAATTCCATTGAATTTATGTACAGTATATGTAATGTATTTTATGGGGCAAAGGGAGGCTGAGGAATGTAACTCGCATATTTTATGTATTTCTTATGGGGAAAATTTATTCCGTTAACGTTGTGTTTTCAAGAACGTAACCACGACATTAAGCGAGGACTTACTGTACACAGAAACATTATAAACTAAAGGGTTCAGTGTTTGTTTTCAATTTTTTCTATTACTGTATTCCAAACTTTTTTCCAATTGACAGCTGCACTCTTTTGACTTTCTCCCCCACACCACTTCCTTTCTGAGACCTCTGAGAGACTTTCAGCATGATGTCTAAGCACAGTAATTAGCTGACGAGAGGTAGACCGAGAGGTAGCAGCGAACAACACACACGGTGATGGCAGGAGACAGACCGAGCGGATGTAAACAAACCCCATGCCCCAAGCAACGGAATTTAATGGAATCACGCTCGATTTAGTGAACTAGTAAGGTAAATTGAGCAAAAATATCGTAAATTCGATTTATTGGAAATTTTGATTTAACGGAAAGGGTTGGCTCGAATTAGTTCATTAAATCAAGAAAATATTATACTAGCTACTGTAGGTACAGTACCATACATTGACGTCTAATTTAATTTCAAAATTGGAAGCTAAAAACGAATTTAACAAGAAATGGATAGCCATTTCGAGGACCTCCCTGAATAGTAATGCAAGGAAAGAAACACAAATAAAGACACCTATAGTTCTATGAAATCAACATACGTGTTGCTATTCTTTTACTTATGTGGAAATTAAGAGTGTATATATACTCTTCTTTAACACACTACAGAATTATAAACTTTATTTTTTTCCAGATACACGAACTGATAACAACACCAGACAGTAATTTATCCACTGGGGGAGTTTCACTGAAAAGTCTGCAATCTTATTCCTTGATTTTGTTTTTTTACAAGATCCTTACCCAAATGTTAGTTTTAATACCCAAAGAGCAGATCTGGTCACGGAATAAACAGCACCCAAATCTAACCAAACTTATAATCTACCATAACAAATCTAAGGTACCAGATACCATAGTTTAAGTTAGGTAAGGTTAGGTTATGCATTCTGTGCATTAAAACTGACATGTGATGCTGAAGAAAATCCCAACAAATTGATGACAAGAAGTAAAATTGAAGAGCCACAATGAACCTTATCCTTATCATCCTTCTCATTTTATGGCTACCAGTGCGGTCATACTAAATACCAAAATGGACTTAAAAAGGGCTACCGGTAACTACAGTTCAGTACAGTACATGTATATCTAAAAAAAATAAAAAATAAAACAAGCAAAAATTGTCTTATTACTGTAATTAGAACAGTACAAGAACAGTGAAAAAATGCAAATAAAATAAATTCTAAATGAATTATTTATAGGAAATAAGTATTATGATCAGTAAATATATGCATTACTGGTCATCCCAGACACAAAGGCAAACAGAAAATGACTGCAAAATGCGTACGTGACCACTGACCACGAGCGCTCGCCGTCAAAACAATGCTGTCCCTCTATCTCCCTCGCACCGTACTGCAATTTTCCCACCATTGCAACCCCAGGGAAGCTTCTAGAGGGTCAATATATAGTTTTTATTGCTTCTTTTTTATTGTTTTCTCGTTTAAAAAGGTTAAAAATTATTTTTGGAAAAGTTGATTTTTCTCCATTTACCCGCGAGGGGGTACGGCCAGTGGCACCCTAGCCCTGGGCGTAGGGGTTAATACTGATTTACACAATACTGTTTCTTCTACATTACCGAAAAGTGAAAACCTGCAGACAGCCAATGGATGAATATTAACCCCAGGCTCTTCTACTGGTGACAGCTCAAAAGACACAGCCATATCTAATCTACTTATGAAGCAACAAGTAGGCCACAGCCTCTGAACCTTATCTAATTGACAAGAATCATAAAGAAACTATACCTGATTTTAGTAGGAATAAACTACATATTTCAGTGATCATTTCTGTCAATTTACTGAAACTCCAAAGGTGTGGGAGCAGCAGCTGACTTGCCACTTTCTATTTAATATAAGAGGGGATCCTTCCCCCGCTAGGAGGTTAGGTAAGATTAGGTAGGTTTCTTTCATTGGTTAGGTCAGGTTCTATTAAATTCTAGTAAATGTCGCCTTTTATATAATGATAACATCTGTAGAAAAAATTAACAAAATTGAACAACTGTTTCTGGTTAGGGATGTATATAGTGGTGCACATCCAACTAGGCCCACCCACTAGAGGTTCAGGAGATATGTGTCATGTGAATGAGTGAATACCGAGCGTTCATCGGTGTGAAGGACGAATTTTATGCGTTTATGTTAGTAGAACTTGATCAATGAACCATGATTCACATTCGTAACTTGTGCTTCTCCGGGTGATTTAGAATAGGGTTTGAAATTGTTGCTTCCAGCAATTTGCCTACAATTGATGTTAAACTGATTGGACAGTAGTTAGAAGATAGTGACTCTATCTCCCTTCTTGAAAATCGCTATCAAATTCACTATCCTCCAGGATTCTGGAACTACACCAGTTTTTAAGGACACGTTATAAATATTTGCTAAGGGCATACTAAGCTCTTCCTTACATTCCTTTAATACTCTGGCAAATATCTCATCGGGACCTGGTGACTTATTAGGCTTTAGTTTGTCTATTTGCTTACTGACATCGTTACTAGTCACTACTATCTCACTTAATATATTTTCTTCACTATATCTGTATACAGTCGGTGTCTCCGGTATCATGATTAAGTTTTCGGTGGTGAAAGCTGTTGAAAAAAACATGTTCAGATTATTGCTCATTTCTCCGTCATTATCAGTTAGCTCGCCGGTATTGGTCCAATCTTGTCTCATGTTTTAGTTTGATACATTTAGAAGAATCCTTTGAGGTATAACCTCGCCTCCCTTGCTTCCTTCAGTTCATTATTCCTCTTTGCTTTTCTTATCTAGGTCTTAATCCTACTGGCCAATACCTTATAATAATCTTGGCGGTAAACTTCACAATTTATTCTCCTACCTATAGCCTTCCTTTGGCCAATAATATTCTTAAAATAATTATTTATCTATTTGGGGTCATTGTTATTTTATCTGAGTTTTCTGTATGGTATGTTCTGCCTTTGTGCATTAAGTAACTCATTATTTAAATTGTTGTGAAACTCATCAACCTCAAATCTCATGATCAGGTCATCCTCAGCCGCCTTATTTTGTGAGGGTGTAATTGTCAGTTCTCCAGGTAAAGTGAGGTCGCCCTCTGTGTTGGTGTTAGATTACAGGGCCATTCACATCTGAGTCTTGACCATGGCTGACCAATGCTTGGTATGCAAGGCAATAGTGCGTCCCCGACAGGAAGGACTCCAATGCGATGGTTGTAACTTCTTCCACTTATCTACATTAATATATTAATAAGATAAGAATGAAAAAATAAATATTAACAAAATTAATCCCCCTCCCTTACACTCCCTGCTGCTTTTATCATTGTACTTTTGTTCTTTATCATTCATACAAAAATAAATGTGAAAGCTTTTACTTTTTAGTCAGAGTTCGTTAACCGAAGCGGTCCGAGTTGGTTATCCGAGATGGGCCGAGTTAGTATATGAAGAGCCGAGTTGGACTGTCACCTTTATAGCTATACAACAATCAACTCACGGCGAAATAAATGCCAAATGCCACAAATCACGGTCACACATCATTCTCGCTTTGTCCGTCAGTAATAGACGATTAGCCAATCGGAGCGCACTCACGGTAAAATAGCGTTGGTAAAAACTTAACCGGTCATGGCAAAATGTCCACTGCCAATCCTTTAACTACAAATACTTTCTAGTAACAACACTCACATCAACTAAATTCCCAAACCGTATAGTTTAGCGACACTGTTCTTAACAATTACCATCTATATTTTCAGGTAGCTTCCTATACTATACCTGAATAATAATTTTGAGTTTACACTTTTAAATTCCATTCTATGCTCATACAAAGATAGAAACTCAACAATCATAATTTTCTTATCACTGTGTTTCCTAAATTCACAAGTAATTGGACATACTCTTTCAAATCAATACTAATCTAGCCCATGAAAAGCGAATTAAGTTTAATGATTAAAACTATATTACATAAAGGATACAGGTTCAGCAGGTATATGCCAAAAATTCACACTGGATATAGGTCTGGCAGCAATATTGAAAGACTGTGTTGTTAATGGTATGGTTAGGTTAGGTTAGAAAGGCCATCTTACTACCTATCATTAGACTGAACATTAGACTGAACATTAGACTGACTTAACTGACTTAAAACTATCATGTTAAGTTAAATTTATAGAGCCATCTCCCTTAAGCCTGGTGTTATAAGGTTCACAGGGGAAGACACCAGGAAATTTAGTTCTCATTATGATAAATAAACAGATACTATTCCTATTTTAATTTTCTCTCATCTGAAGTAAAAGAAATCACCTTAGACACTTCCTTAACCCTTAGTTTATAACATGTTAACCAAAGCATTACCGTAGTGTATTAACATGGCATTACCTCCTGTCCCCATGTAAAGTAAGCAACTAGTTAATGTATATAACTACTAATACATCACAGTAACAATGATTTCCTGTCAGTAATCCTTCATAATGGGTTAAATATACCTGAGGACTCCCCTACAGCCTTCAAGGACTGAGAGATATGAACACACAACCCTAACAATGAGGTTTATATCTTCACAAACACGTAAATCAACTCTAAAACATCAGAATAAAAGATTAAATTCAATATTAAAACCTCCACTAGTAAGGTTATATATCATCTATCTGTAATAATCCCAAAATACACAATAAAGAGAGAATGATGCTACATACCACTGCTTATGGACGCCATTTTCAAGTAGTTAACAGCCAGGGCCATCTGTAGGGACCAGGTGAACTACTACTGGCGCCAGTTTTAAAACACCTACTTTGACCTGACCTGACCTCACCTGTCCCATTCAATTTTGAGTATTTTATTAATATATTCTTTCTTTATGACGGATAGTGGGTTTTTAATTATATTCCCCTATGTATTCTTTGTTATTTCATCTCAAGGTTCAGTGATGTCTAAGTTAATGTTTAAGAAAATTACTGTTTTTGGTAGGTAAAATATTATGAAATTATTAGATAAGTTTTTATGTTTATTTTTTTCATTAGAATTAATAAGTTGTATCATATTTACTGAATTAAAACAGAAGCTATATAGTTACAATAAATCTTGGGGTTTAGTAATTCATGTTTCGTTATGTCGACCTTCTTGGTGATCAAACAAAAAAATGGTTTATTATTCATTTAATATACTTACCGCATTTTAATCCTAAATTAGTACTGCACCTCATATAAAATCGGTAAGAGGAAAGAAGGAAGTGTTATGATGGAAATGATAAAAATGACAAAAATGCTGAAACATCAATTCTCCTTTACTGTATTAATAGAGTTGTTATACAATACGAATATATCTAAAAAAAAAAACTACCCACAATTCTCGTTTACTGTATTAATAGAGTTGTTATACACTAAGAATATATCTAAAAAAAAAATTACCCACTTTTGTTAGGGGTTAATCCCTCTCTACCAAGAGTAGCGTCCCACAGGGTTCTGTTCTTTCACCTACTCTCTTCCTTCTCTTTATAAATTATTTACTTCACACTACGATTAATTCTATCCATTCTTACGCTGATGAGTCTACTCTTCACTCTTCTTCACATTTATCCTTCCACTTTAATTCTCAAACTATATCTGTTTCTAGAGCTGATATAATTTCATCTACCACTGCGGATCTGTGAACATCTCTGAATGGGGAGGTAGAACCTTGGTTTAATTCAATAGTAATAATTTATTACTATTGAATTTAACCAAGGTGCATATGCAAATGTATATTTAAGCCATTTTTGAGCTAAAGTGCATATTCATATTTTTTTGTTTTATAAGGCATATATTTGGAAAATTCCAAAATATTATAAAACATTCTTCATCCTCAAGGGTTAAAAAATTCGCCAGCATAACAGCAACGCTGGGGCAGAAATTACTGATATTTGAACTATAATAAATGTCCATTTTGTTGCACTAATACAAAATCGAAAATACGCGATTTTGTTTTAGCGTCATAATATCCAAAAGGAACATCCTTAAGTGACGTTTATATAGCTCAACATTAGGCTGTGGTTAGCTAGGCCGTGATGGGCTGGTCAGTGGACATGAACTGTACGTGATGGGTTCGTGTTCAGCCAGGCAGGGTATAGAGGCACGGGCTCCACCAGTTCCCTCCTGACACTCTTTTGTTCTTCTGTTTTCTTAAAAGGAAAATACTTTTTCAGTATTGTTTAATAAATTACTTTATGTCAGTATATTGTTTTTTGTATTTAATCCTTCTTTAAAAAATCCTACTTCAGCGACATCCTGTCTGGGAAAGTAAATTTACTGAGAAAATGTACAGTAAAAGGAGTTATTAACTTAGTAGTTATTATTTATTAACATATTTTAAAGTGCATATTTTCTCAGTTTTTACTGCATATTTGCATGCATATTTAGCCATTTTTAAATGCATAATTATCCTAAGCCTAGACTAATAAAATACAGTATTTACCAATTACACTTTTCAAAATAGAAGATCTACCACCAATTACATTTCAGGACACAATCATTCTGCCAAATTCTAAAATAGATATGCTAGGCCTCACCATTTCCTCTAAAATGTCATGAAAGCCACACAGCTACAACATCGCTAAAGCTGCCTCCCGAAAGCTGGGAATGCTGTACAGATGCCGTAGCTACTTCACTCCTGAGCAGTTGCCCCAAGTATATAAGGGATTCATTCGTCCTCACCTGGAGTACTGCTCTCATATCTGGGGTGGCTCTAAAAGGAATGAAATATATGAGAAAAGTGAAACAATGAAACATTACCATCATGTTCTCATGAACACAAATTTTACATATGGGAAAGATAGGAGTAGGTGGAAAGATTCAGTGTATATGAGGTTAAGATTAGGATATAAATATTATTGGGACCTTGGAGCTGAGAGAAGTGACCAGGATAAAGAATGTAGAGTTTGTAGAACACCCAGATCCCATACCCTGCCACATTATATACTGGAATGCCCATTGCTTAATGTATATAGAAATGTCCATATAAATAATGTCCCCATGCAAATAGAGTGGATGTTTAAAAATAGGGGAATAGATGAAATATTAAAGAAATATAGAAATTTTGCATCTAGAATATAACTGTGTACTATAATAGGTTATATAAGATATACCCTGTATCTGAATGAGGGATTTGAGTGAGTCCTGAGAGGGACATTCCTGGACTGGGGTGTGGATGACTTAAGTCACTTCATCCCTTTGAGATGTATTTTATTTGTATCTCAATAAACGTATCAATCAATAAATCTTCTGTCCAACTGTTAGATAGGGCAAGGGCATATCAAAGGCATTAACTCTCCTCCTTTAGTCGACAATCTCTCTTCACTTTCTTTTCGCCGCAATGTTGCTTCACTCTCTCTTTTACAGGTGCTTTAACGGGCAATGCTCGGTGGATTTAGCATCCTGTGTACCGCCGGCAAGGCCGTGGGCTCGTAACACTCATGTTGCCCGCGGTGCCAAACTGTGGAATGCTCTGCCTGCTTCTGTGTTTCCATGCTCTTACAATTTGTCTCATTTCAAAAAGCTGGTTTTCCGGCATCTTCGTGGTGTAAATTAATAAAGTCTTTTTCTCTTCTACTTCTAATTTATTTTTACTCTTATTTTTTCGCCTCGTTGTGGGTCGATGACCTGTGCCCGGGTGGGCTATTCCCCGTAAAAAAAAAAAAAAAAGTAATCAGTCTCCGAATATCAGCTATTAGTTCAGGGACGAGTCGACAGCTGGAGAGTAAACTTGATGTTAGGCTCTATTCACACCAGAGGGACGGTCACGGTCCAGTCAAGGGACGGTCTCACTCCGGTCACGGTATTAGGGTATTCACATACACGTCAAGGGACGATCTCGCTCCTGTTACGGGCCGTCTCGTGGGAAGATGTGCGAATTCTCTTCATCAGAGTTGGCAATGATCGCAATTGCATTAGACGAGGAGGAAGATAAGAACAAAATCGGAAAAGGATTGATGATGAAAGTAAATTCTTTCAGTATTTCCGTATGAACATTGGCACTTTTGAGATGATTTTGTCAATAAAATGAAGAGGAATGACGTAAGGAAAACACAACCTTTAGAGAAGTCATCTCTCCAAGAGGAAAGCTGGCAGAATGTCTTAGGTAAGATACAAATTGAGATGAATTGAATTATTGAATTTGGGTATAAGGCCAATCTGAAACAGAAAGGTTGGAAGGTAAGAAAACACGTTTACAGGTTTGTCTTTTATTTACCCAACATTTTTACATGTTTGTAACATTTATTCGGGGAAAAACGTTTACAGGAAGCTGTGTTAAAGCAAAGACGGGTATTTTTCATTCACATGGAGCTGTGGGGGATTAGTGGGTCTCATGTAACTGACCTGACCTGACACAATGTCAAGTAGATTTTTTTTACGGGGATTAGCCCACCCGGGCACAGGTCACTAACCCACATCGGGGACTGGGGGGCGAAATGTAATAATAATAATAATGATAATAATAATAATAATAATAAAAATAAACCATAAAGAAATACAAAAATGAAAAAAAAAGATCAAGAGTGAGAAACAATATACAGGTATGTCTGTTGTGTTGTTGTCATGGGCAGCGTTGGGTCTACCCCCCCCCACCCACCCACCCCAAATGTTTGTTGACGGTAGATAAGGGACCAGGCGAGCCGTGATTCTGTCATCACTATTTCATTGGTGGATATGTGAGCTAGTCTATGGGAGGAGGATGAGGGGGCGATTGAGACAGTGGTGTATTATTCATCACGTCTCACGTCCAAAACCACATTTTAGTCAATGGGCTTTAGACCTTGGGTAATAAAAGACCTCCTGCTCCGCGGATTTAAGAACAGGGGCCATACAGTCCCCCCCTCTTTGGTGTTGAGTAAAACATAGTCATACATATCTTTGGTGGTAGGCCATTAAAAATAACATAACCTTTCCCTGTTCCCTCAGTTATCCTCTCCTAGTCCCCTCAGTTATCTTCTGGCCTCTCCTGCTGAACTGGGTGACTCTTGACCGGGTTGTGGGGTCGGGTGACAGGGGTGCTGGCTGATTCTTTTTTTTTTTACACCCCCACCCCCCCCTACATCCTTGTGTAAGGTGAAGCGCAGAAGCGTTTATAGCGCCCAACAGGGAAGCATAAGTTCATGCTTGCCTTATGTCCGAAGAGTTAAGGCGTAGAAGCCTGAAGAGTCAATAATTTTATGTCTAAGCAAATTATTGGAAGTTCCAACATGTCCCTGAATACGAATTCGCAACTTTCGATTTACAGCAGGTACCTACTGTACTGCTAGGTGAACAGGGACCAGGGGGACTAGGAAGTGTGTTCAAACAACTTCAGCCAGCCCGGGAATCGAACCCGCGACATCTTGCTTGAAGGCAAGAGCGGTACCGCTCCACTAGCTCTCCACCGGCTGTTAAAAATGTCCTTGAATTACAAGGTCATGACACCGAGTCACCCTCCTGCGCCGGCCTGCCCCCATTACCTCTCCCTCCCTCTCTCAACACTGGCCCGTCCACACTGCTGCTGACATCCTGCGTTATCACCTCTACACCCCCTCGACCTCTCTCCCTCCCGAGTACACTCATCCGCCTCTACCGCCGTGGACTTCCCCGTGTGTTGATGTTGTCGTCCACATCTTCCCTGGTCGTAAATCCACCCAACTGCGGTATATGCTCAAACTTGAGCAGATTGATGATGTCGCCTCTTCTCTTACGACCTCCCTCCCTCCTATCC